AGAAGAAGAAGAAGAAGAAGAAGAAGAAGAAGAAGAAGAAGAAGAAGAAGAAGAAGAAGAAGAAGAAGAAGAAGGAGGAAGTATGTGAATGATCCTATAGCAAATATAGCAAATAAAAAGGTTGGGGAATGTGCAGTGGTGCCCACCTATACTCCCAGCACTCTGTAGGCTGAGTGGGAAGAGCCCTTGAATCCAGGAGTTCAAAACTGGCCTAGGAAACACAAGTGAGTGGAGAAGAAAAGAGAACAGGGGAGATAGGAAGAGAGAGGAGAGAATGGGGAGGGGAAGGAAAGGTATGAAGAGGAGAGGTAGAGAAAATAAAGGAGGAAGAAGGAAAAATTTTGAATTAGTAATTCAAATACTTCCCATCTATCCCATCATAGAAACACCAACAAAAATTAACTTTATCAAAACTCTCAGTAACGGCAAAAAGGTTTGCAGTCCCTAGAAGGAAAAGGTAATGCACTGGATGGAGCAGAGCTCTCAGGATACTCTAACTTACCCTAGCCCATCCCACTCCCTGGCTCAGCAATGTTCTTCAAGAGGCGACTGTGTATCTGGTGTGGTTCCTGGTGCTGGAAGGAACAGAGTAGAATTTGTTCTTAAAGAACCACAACCTCCCATCTGACCTGTCCTGGCTCCATGAAAGCCCATAGCAAAGGTCTTCATCTTACTTTGCCCAATTTAGAAACTCCTCAGGGTAGAGATGGGCTGTGAGAGGACAGCTTCTGAAGCTTAGGGCAAAGAACTGACTTGCTAAAGCCAGAAAGAAAGCTGGGGTGACAGTGTACTACAGGATAAGAACTGAAAGCTTTCATCCTTAGGTTTCTCACAGTGCTGAAAAAAAAAATATATCACACCACCCCAGCAGCTGTTCTTCCTGGAACTAGTCTGTGTAGCTCAAAGTGCATCGCCACACACAAACATGCATACACATGTTCATTACAGTTCTAATCACAGATGTCAAACCTGAAAGCTACCAAGAGTCTTCCACAGGCAAATGGACAATGCACTGTGTTGCATCTTGAGAACAGTAGTAAAAAGGCACCAAGCAGAATGCTGCACATAGTGATGCATGCCTTTAATCTCAGCGCTCAAGAGGCAGAGGCGGACAGATCTCTATGAATTTGAGGCCTGGTCTACCTAGAAAGTTCCAAGCCAGCCAGGGTGACATAGTAAGACCCTGTCTCAAAAACAAACAACAAACAAGCAAACAAACAAACAAATGGACAAAAAGCAGGGCTCAGTAGGTTAGAACACTGGCTGTTCTTCTAGATCAGTGGCTCTCAACCTTTCTCATGCTACGGCCCTTTAATACAGTTCCTCATGTTGTAGTGACTCCCAACCATAAAATTATTTTGTTGCCACTTCATAACTATAATTTTGCTACTGTTATAAACTGTAATGTAAATATTTGGTATTCAACCCCCAACAGCGTCACAGCCCGCAAGTTAAGAACTGCTGTTCCAGAGGAACTGGATTTGATTCTCAGTACCCACATGAAAGCTCACAACCATCTACAACGCCAGTTTCAGGGGATCTGATGACCTCTTGTGACCTTCATGGGCACCAGGCATGCCCAGACATATATGCAAGCAATTTACCCATACATGTAAAATAAAACAAATTTGGGGGGTGCATACTAAGCTATCAAGCCACAAAGGCATGAAAGGACCTGAAATGCATGGATGATAAGAGCAAGCATAAAAAGGTCACATACTGTATGACTCGACCTATGTGGCATTCTGGAAGACAATGTTAAACGATGGTATCTGTCAAGGTTGAGAAAGGATTAACAGGAAACACACAGAAGGTATTGGGGTGTGGGTAGAACTATTCTGTGTGGAGAGCTGTAGCAGTAATGGTGGAAAACACCACTCATTAGTCAGGAACCACAGAATCACACCACATAAGGATGGGTGCTACTATAAACACGGACTTAGTCATGCTCACCCCTGAAGCAGCTCTACATAATCCTGAGACTCTAGAAGGCCATGCACTTACAGTAGGGTGAGCACATGCTCTGAAAAGACCTGGCAAGGCTCCAAGTGTCCCCTCTGGCCAAGCTTTGCTCTGCATAAGCAGGAAATGAAGGCTAAGGCAGAGCTCCTGCGTAGCAGTACTGAAGGCTGATTTGTACTCTAACGGATTAGCTACAAGCACCACTTGTTTTAGTTTGGCTATTGTTGGGTTATTTACTGAAATCTTTGCCACTGCCTCACTACTAGAACTGACAGAACTGTTCAAGCATGAGGACCTGACTTCAACCCTAGCACCCACGTAAAAGGCCAGGTGTGGCAGTGCACACCTGTAATCATAGAGCTGGGTGTGGGGTTGGGAGGATCTGGGGCTTGCTGCTCTGCCAGTCAACCAAACTGATAAGCTCCAAGTTCATGAAGACACCCTGCTTTAAAAACTAAGGTGAAGAAGGCCTAGGGATATGGCTTAGTGGATAAAGTGCTCACTGTACAAGCCTAAGAACCCGAGTGTAGATCCCCATCACCCAATACAAAGATGGGCTAGTGGCCTGCTTGTAATCCCAGTGCTCAGAGGCAGAGATGGGGAACCGCTGGGGCAACTGCTGACTAGACTAGCCCAATCAGCGAGCTCCAATCCAATGGCTCAAGTGAGAGGCCCTGCCTCAGCAAAGAAGATGCAGAGTGAATGAGGAAGAGAGTTAATGTCCACCTCTGGTTTCCACAGCACATACACATGCACAAGTGACAGCACACATGTGCATGTGCACTCACACACACGTACACAAAATAGATAATATAGGTGATTAAAAAAAAAAAAAAAAAAGGCCGGGCGGTGGTGGCACACTCCTTTAATCCTAACACTCCGGAGGCAGAGACAGGTGGATCTCTGTGAGTTCAAGGCCAGTCTGGTCTACAGCGTGAATTCCAGGAAAGGCGCAAAACTACACAGAGAAACCCTGTCTTGAAAAACCAAAAAAAGGACCAGCAAGATGGCTCAGCAGGAAAGGTACTTGCTATCAAGCCTGAAAACCGGAGTAAGTCTTCAGCACCCACGTGGTAAAAGGAGAGAATCAGCTCCTGCAAACTGTCCTGTGACCTCCATACATGCACACATGTATTCACACACACACACACACACACACACACACACACACACACACACTAAATATAATAAAAAAAAATTAAGGTGAAGGGTGATTGAGGATAATGCCATATGTCAACCTTGGGCCTCTACATGAACACACACACTTGAACACATACACAGCACCACATGGTTCAGGTGTGTACACAGCACCATGTGGAAACTAAATGGGAGTTGAGATACCTCCGGATTCTCAGAGCTTTCTGGGTTTCTGAAAAGCAGAGTGAGAGTGCACCTATAATCAAAAGGGATCTTTCTACCAGTGCTGAGCAGCTTCTACAGAGCAGGGCTACCAGCGGTGGAGAAAAGGACCCAACCAGTAAAAATGAGCTCATTAGTGAGCTCAATCACTGGGCAAGCTTTAGTGAAACATTTCACTATTAGGATAAGAATTTGTACCATATCAAGCTGGTGAAAGAATACGCTGGCTGTACTTTCAGGAGGCGAGGCTAAAATCTTTTTAGATTATGGATTAGCCTATGGAAAAATGTCCAATGTAAATCAAACAGTGAAGAGGAAGATGGAATAGGAATCTCACACAACTTAAGTAAAACACAGCTCTCTGAACAGATGAAGATAGGTTTCTTCTGTATCGCAGAATATAATCAATATTTATAAGTATAGTTCAGCTATTATTTGGCTTTAAAGGGCTTACTGGGAAATGTTATCATTTTTACTATTTTCTACAGAGAAAATATTTTCCAGTTTCAAATAACCCTGGACTCTTGAATTATAACCTGTTTTTAATGTTCAAGCTATCTGTGTATTATTTCTCCTGCAGTTGTACATAAAATGTTTTTACATTAAAAAATGACAAATACTATAGAACTGTATTACATGAAATGTATAGAATATACAAATTCACAGAGGCAGAAAGATTAGACATTATCTCAAGATGGAGAAGAAAGGAATATAGAGCAATGATTTCCTAAGTACAGAATTTCTGTTTTGTGTGATGGAAAAGCCCCACAAACAGACAGTAGTACCAGGACATAATATCATGAATGTAATAAATCAATACAATTAATGTAATTAATGAATATCATAAATATAGTTATTGAATGAATACTGCAAATGTAATCAATGAATAACACAAATGCAATTAATATCATGAGTGTAATTAATATCTTTAATGTATTATTAATGAATAACATTCATTAATGTACTATTAATGAATATCATGCCACTGAATTGTGAACTTAAAAATGGTTACAATTGCAAATATTATGTTCATTTAAAAAAATAAGGTAGAATGTAATCACCACACATTATTTGTGTGTATGACATTGAAGACAGCGATATTCTAAAATAGAAAGTGGTGATGTCATAGGCCTATGAGGATGCTGGACTAAAGTCTATCAAATTGTGCAAACAGGCAAATTGTATACTATGTGAATTACTTGTCAATATTTTATAAAATGTAAAAACAAAACAAAACAAAACAAAAAAACCGCTGGGCGGTGGTGGCACACGCCTTTAATCCCAGCCTCATCTACAGAGTGAGATCCAGAAAAGGCGCAAAGCTACACAGAGAAACCCTGTTTCAAAAAAAAAAAATCGCTCCTATTGAGGACTGGGGAGATGGCTCAGTGGTTAGGAGCACTGACTGCTCTTCCAGAGGACCCAGGTACAATTCCTAGCATGCACATGGCAGCTGGGATTTGTAATTATAATTGTAATAAAAATAAATAAATAATTTAAAAAATCATTCCTGTTTAGCACTTTCTCTGAGTTAGGTTTGGAACCAAGGGCTTTCTGAGCATTTAACTCACCACTTAGAGCAATCTACAAGTAATTCTGTTATCACTCCCATGGAACAGTTCAAGGAATTAAAGGATTAACCCAGAGTCACTAGAGAACAGGTGGGAAAGCCAGACCAGAAAACTAGGTATATATTTTAGGTCTTGCATTCTTCTTTTTTCTTTTTTGGTCTTGGTTTTTTTGAGACAGGTTTTCTCTGTAGCTTTTGGAGCCTGTCTTGGAACTCATTCTGTAGATCAACCAGGTTGGCCTCAAAAACCCTGAGATCCACCTGCCTCTGCCTCCCTAGTGCTGGGATTAAAAGCATGCTCCACCACTGTACCACTGCATTCTTAAAAACAAAACAAAACAAAAAACCAACCACCACAGTGCTCCAATTAAACTGAAGGTGCAAAGCCAGACAGTAGCACATGACTGTAATGCCAGCACTTAGGAGGCCGAGGCAGAGGACTCACAGCAAGGTCAAGGTGGGTTTGTTCAGCACAGAGAATTCTAGGCCAAAGAATAACACCAATAACCTCAGCAGACCTATAAGGTATCCAGGGTTGGGGCATGGGGCAGGATAGCATTTGCTTTTCAACATATTCCTGAGTCCAGAACAATCAGCTTTCTCTGAACCGCAGGCAGGGTAAAACCCAAGGCCCAGGCTCCACACTGGCCATTTGCAGGCAGTAGAGCACATCTGATTCATTCT